CAACGCCAGTGGAGGCATCTGCCCGCGGCATACAGGGTGATGAAAGCCTTTTATCGTTCACTTGTCGTTGAATAAGCGACTACCCAACGATTACCAATCGATAGTCCTTTTTTGCTACATTTTCAATGGTTCTTTGACCGAAAATGGCACCCTGTCATCGTGGGGCTCTGGCTGTTCCTGCGCCACCCCGTCATCGTATTCTGGTTGCCTGTCATCGATTGGGGATTGCATGAGACACGTTCGTTACTTATTCTTGTCCATTCTTCGTCGACGTCTCTGCACCTCTGTCTAATTGCTGGCCATTCGTTTTGGGGCTGGCTAAGTTGCTGGCCGACTTTGCTTATCAGCGCTTTTCGCCGCTCTGCCACAGGCCAGCCACACCCGTTGCCCGGCCACCCATTTGTTAGCCAGGCTCTGGGTAAATCATTTTTCATTTGCCTGTTGAAATTTTGCACTACTTTGTCTGCCACCTGCCACCTGCCAGCTGCCACTCGTTCCCGAGCGTGCCGGAAGCCTGTGGGGCAGAGCGGGGTGTCTGCTGTCTTTTTGTTTTGTTTTGTTTTGTGTGTGTTTTTGGGCCGTTCTATTGAACTTTACTCAAGCGAAATTAATGAGCGGCCCGGGGCCATAACACGCGCCAGAAGCCAGTTCATTACCGGTACGGATTTTGGTGGGTGGTTCCTGGTTTTGGCTGCTGCTGCTGCTGCTGCTTCTGCTCCTGTTTCCACTTCGCCCACTCAAGTGCACCAAAGCGCGAAAAGCATTAGGGGGCAGGGGCTGGGGGTGTACGGACATTTTATTGGCGAACATAAAACGCAAAGTGTCAAAGCGAAACGTTTGCAGACGAGAAGGTTGGGCAACATTTCAATTGGCACGGCCATAAAAAAAAAAGAAGAAAAGTCACAAATGGAACCCTGCTCTAGTGGATTTGATTTAAAATCGGGTTTGGCTCTGGCAACTGGCAACTGGCATCTGCCATCTGAATCTCTATCAATTTTGCATTCATTGAAAGCAGAATTAAATGTTGTGGTTTATTTTGTAGGCCACCAACTCGAGTGTGTGTTTAATATTTATGCAATTTAATTAGCATTCGATTATGCTAATTAATTGCTGAATATTAATTGGAATGCATTGGCTTTACCTCATCGATTGGCAAGTGATTCATGTGTCCATGGAGAGGACTGCAGCAGCAGCAGCAGCTGTAAGCGACAGACGTTCGTCTCGTTGACCATTTGACTTTGATTTGTTGTTTGCACTAGCAAAGTACAAGTGGATGTGGAATGCCTCTTGTTTCTGCATTCACACTGTGCCGCTGCCTTTGGGTGGCGCTTCGAGTTGCGCGACGAACAACAAAAGGAAGCCAGACAAAAAAAGCTGAAAGACAATTCCTAGCACTCAATTAACGCATTTAAAACTACAGAGGAAGAGAGATAGATAGAGAGGATGAGGCAGATCTGAAGAGTAGAGGCTGTGCCACTTGTGTTTGGGTTTTATTTCGAGAAATGGCATTGTGCATCTGCCTTCTGCCTTCTGCCTTGTGCCTTTTGTCTGTGGCACGAAGCACAACCACATCGACAAGGCATTGTCTCTATCCGACAATGCAGCAGCAGCAGGAGAAAGCCGAACCCGTTTCCAATCCCCAGCCCATGCCCAATGCAACCAAATCCGAATCCCAGTCAGAGTTCCACCAATCATTTCTCATTGCTCTGGCATGGAAAAGCTGTGTGCAGGAGGAGACTCTAAGCTGCCACACAATCAATCAAAGAGCCAAGGCTGGCACTGACGATCAAAATCCCTTTCGCTTTTCGCATTTCGCATTTCGCATTTCGCTTTCCCTCCTGCTGGCAGGGCTAATCGTGTGCCCGATAGGGGAAAAGTGCCACAAGTTCAAGTGCTCTTTGGTGCATAATGCTGGAATTTACGAATACGATTGCTGAGATGAGAATCTTCCACTGGTAATCGCTTAACGAGTTGCAGCAATTAACGTGAGACTTGCCCTAAGCTTTTGTTCAGCATAAAACCAGCTTCTTTGTCCTGTTGGCCACCTTTAAAATCGGCCACTGATTGGGCATGAGAGCGCTTTTTGCCTTTCCATTCATCAAAACTTAAGCTGCGGCACAATTCGCCCTTAAATGTTGTTCCGATGGAGCACTGGACCCAGCCATTTATTAGCATTTAAGCAAAGTTATTGGACTGCTGAGGCAGCCCGCCTCTCCTCTGATACTTGACATTTGAGGGCTGTGGGTTCATCAAAGTTTTAGTGGCTCCATGGGCGCGTTCTGCACAGGCTCCCTCCCATCCGCGTTTTCTTACGAGCGAGATTGGCATCGTCCAGGCATCATGATTATTGTTTTAGTTGTTTTAGCTTCAGGCCTCAGGCTCTGATAATTGCTCTCTGTCTCTGCCCGCCCCTTAGCCATGAAACTATATGAATCTTTATGGCCCAGTGACCTGCACACGTTCATGTTCATGTTCATGTTAAGAGACCAAACTACATTTTGCATTTTGATTAAAAAGTAAGCACCCAACCTGCCCCTCTCTCCCTCCCTCTCTCTTAATAGTTCTCGAGGCTTTCGTCAGTCCTCGCCTTCGTTTGTCTTGCTGGTCCATCGCCTGCGCCTCCCCAGGAGACACTCGAGGCGCGGAGCTCTCGTTTGCAATTTAATGAAGCAAACTGTTGCTAAACACAACGACTAAAGTTAGTAGCCGCGGGTGGTTGGTGCAAAGGGAAGGGGAAGGCGACAGAGAGGCACTTCCTGAGAGTGACTCCGCCAGCGTGCAGATGAGCGATGGACGGATGGGTGGATGAGTGGACTTGGCACCGCTGAAGCATGAAAATCATTTGATGAACGCCATGCCATTGGGCTCTAAGGACTCTCCGCCATCCAACAGATGCTCCAGAGAGAGCAAAAGAGAAAGCGGTAAAGCAGCTTGCAAATCTGCTCCAGTGTTGGATGCCCTGTCGACTCTGCGATACCCTCTAACAAAGTCCCACAAATATGTGACACATTTCCACTGCTCTCAAATGCGATATGCCCCACGGATAAGCGTCACAAGTTTTGGCTTTGAAAATGATAAAGAGAAAGTGAAGTGGGGAATGGCAAAGGGAATGCTGCTTGGCCAAGTCAAACGGTTTTTCCGCTGGCATTCGGCCAGTAAAAGAAATAGCGAAAGCCAATTCAATAGAGGAGGGGAAATATTGTATGAAATGTATATTTAAAATTGCATAAATCAAAACACTCGGGCAGCGGAGGTGACGCAGGAGACGAGCAGAGCCACAGTCGGAGCCAAACGATGCTAATTGATTGATGATCGACTCTCGCCAGATGCTGCTCGATTAAGAGCAGCCCAAAAACCTTCAAAAGGTCTGGAAATGAAAATCGAAAATCTAAAGTTACTTCGCAATGGAACACTCCATGACCATCCAGTGTTTGTTGCTCTTTTTTCACAGTTCTTTAGGTCCTTTTTTGGCACATCGTAGGGGGGCCTTCTGCAATCGTTTCTCGGATCGAATCACGTCCACACATACGAGGACCACCCGCTGCTAAAACAACTGAAGGACCTCAAAGGACCATTACCAGTGCCGAAACCAACCTCAATTAAAGCACACTCTTTGGCAATTCCAGCTGTGACTTTTGCTCTGGCCAGTCACAGTCAGAGTCACAGCCATGGCAGTTGGTGGAGCGCATTCGATGGAACATTGACAAAAGGAATCGGAAAATGCAATGGGAAATCGCTCAGACAATGGCCCAAGCGGGTACCAGGAATGTGGCACAAAGAGTAAGGGCGGGCAGGGAGTAGCTTGCAACGCCACGGGGCAAACGAAAAATGCAAATTGTCAAACATGCAACGAAATTGACGAGAAAGACTTCCTGCAACGCAACTCTCTCTCTCTCTCTCTCTCTCTCTCTCCGTCACGCACATTGCACCTTCGGCATGACTCCCTCCTTCATGCTTCCGAGTTTCAGCGAAATAATCGTACCAGCAGCGAATATTGACACTCTGTCAGTGTGTCAATGTGAAGCTTCAGGCTCTGCAGGATATTCCCCCACCCGTGCCAGCTGTGGCAACGATGCCAGCAAATTAACTCAAACCGAAACGAACGCCAGAACGCCTCCCCCTTGCCGCATCACGCTGTGGCACGTCTCAGAAAATGACTGCTGAAAATGGTAGGGGAAAGGGTGTTGGCCTGCGGATGGATGGGAACTTGTTGCTGCATTTTGGCAGCCATTCCTGGTCCAGGTCGAGGTCCGGGTCCGGGTCCGGGTCCGGGTTCGGGCAATTTTTAAGCAGGCATAATTAATGGAAAACGGCCCTCGTTTCCTCGGATAATGTCAACATTATCGCTGCTAATTGGCAACGGGGGGGCTGACACAGACAGAGACACACAGGCTGGATGATGGACACCAATGGTGAGGCCGCTGCCGCCGGAGGGAGCTCTTAGATTTAGCTAATGGATTTACCTCGTCATTTAGTGGATGATTTTCGTTTGTGGCATGACGGACAGGTGGCAGAGGATAAGCATGAACAAAAAAAAAAACACCAAAAGATGATGAATATAAATGCGTACAAGGAAGCTGAAACATGTCAGAGAGGCAAAAGGGCAGCAGCTTTGTTGTCTTTGATTTCTGCTGTATCTGTCGCTTGGCCCTCTCTTAACCCACTTGGCCTGGGCTGAGCTGTACATGAATTCATTTCACATTTGTTAAATAGCTTGCAAAGAGACAGTTGCATTTGCCCACTTGCCATTTGCTCTCTTTCACACTCTCTTGCTGCACAAATACTTTGTGGCACTTGCAAGTAGCGCTTGTCCATTGGCAAATTTACACTTGACACCCACAGATCTATGGCCACTTTGCTCCTATGGTGCTCGCTGACTTTTGCAATTAGCGCAGCGCCAGACGTGAGAACCAAGCGACCAAACAATCGGTTGATCAACAGACAAAGTTGAGCTGTGTAGATTGTGTGACAAAAAAAAAGAAGAATTTTCATTTATTTATTGTGTGTGTGTGTGTGTGTGTGTGTGGCTTAGTATCTACATACATTAGATTAGATTTTGAGCTGTGTGCGGGGCAGATCCTAACTGTTGTCGGATATGAGGCGCTGCTCGTTGTAGCGTATGGGATATGTGAGTGCATTGCCCTTGTCCCACGAGTAGAGTTCCTGTAAAGGTGGCGAATTAGTGGGGTAAAGCCACAGGCCAAAGGCCAAAGAATTATCACTCACAACTGTCAGGGGGTTGTAGCCGACGGTGGTCGTGTGACTGAAGGGATTCGAGAAGGGCAGATTCGTATTGAGCAGCTTTCCCTTGTACAGATCCACCACATATCGGATCTGTGTGTTCTTGTCTGTGGCCGAATCGATGGCATACAGATTGCCGCACACAATAAACATCTCCCCAAACTGATGGTGGTCCAGTGTGATGTTGAAATTGTACTGCATCTTCAGTGTCTCTGCGTCCAGCTGTGTGTGTGAAGAAGTCGTTCTAAAGTGAAGGCTCTCAGGCACTGTACACTACGCACCTTTGCCACCAGCGTGTTGTTGGAGTTGTAGGTGCTGTAGACAACCCAGAGGCCCACCTCGTCCACATTGAAGTCCATGAAGTTGAAGTCCGTGGCGTAGAGTCGATTGGAGGCAGCCACTCCCGCGTAGGGTAATTGTGTGGCTGCAAAGAGGCAGGAATCACTCCACACTGGATGACATTTCTGTGAATATTTATGGCGCTACGTACTGATTTTCTTGAGGCTTGTCAGATCCAACTTAACCACCAGATCGGAGTTTCTCTGATGATAGTAAAACGAGCCATTGAACACCACATGAGCATTGCCCTAAAAGCGGCAAAGGAAAGTAACAATAAACAGTCTCTACGGATCCTTGGCGTCACTCACATGGAAACCCTCGGGTATCTCGTACTTGCGCCTGGGCACACTGTTCATGCGATACTGTATCCGCGTGGTGAACTCAAACAAATTGTACGGATCATTCTCGTTCGTCACGTACGTCTTCTCGCGATCACTCTCGGGCGCTGGATCGCGCAGCCACGAGCCAAACTTCTCATTGACAACCTTGTGGAAGACGGGCTTGCCGACGGCATACAAGTAGCAGGCTGCCAAGAGACAGAAACAAGATGCACTTGAGGATTGCTAATCTAAGTGGCTTCACTCACTCTTGGGTCGCTTGGGCAGTCCCGGATAGCTGAGATTTCCCGTTGGCTGTATCTCAAAGTTGTTCAGTATGGAATCCTTGCACTGGTACAGGCTGTCAGAGAAAGCATTGCCGGTTGTGTAGACCGACAGTATCCAGGCAGGGGCAGGGCACTTACCTCGGATCCGGACACTGATCACAGACGGGGCACTCACTCTCTGGCGGCCGCTGGCCATACACCTTGATGCTGTTGCCCACATACGGCGTCTCGCTGTTTGGATCTTGTGCTGGAGGAGTAGCCCAAGGATTAGTAGAGTCTCTGACAAGTCTCTCAGCCTATGCTGTGTACTCACGTGCTAACTCAAAGTTGACCATGGTGGCATTCAGCTCGTTGCGTGCCACACAATGATAGTAGCCAAAGTCGTCCTTGCGCAGGTTATTAAGGGTCAGACGCATGGAAGTTTTGAAGCTGCAGAAAATAACAGTGTAGTAGGATTACACATCAACTTGCAGTAGATCTCTGTGGCTTTTTCTGCTCACCCATCTGGATATGATTCAATGCTGTACTTCTCGCTGGGATCCAGTATCTTGCCATCATAGGCACGCTCCCAGTAGCGTATGGCCTCGGGGAATGCCTCCACGAGGCACTCGAGCGTGGCGCTGCTCTGATATTCGGCGTAGATCATTTGTCGATACACCGAGATCATGGGAGCAACTTTAAGGCGTAGAATAAATACATGAAAATAGGCACCATGGATGGATGTCTCGTGCTTACAGTGTACTTCCACTATGAAGGTTGCATTGGCAACGGGCGCAATCCCATTGTTGGCGTAGCACGTGTAGGCCGCCATCTGATGCCTCGTGATGTTGGTGAACTTCAGAAACTGTCCGCTGATGGAGGCCACTGTGATGAATGCAATGTTTAGCTTCAGTTCTTCTCTCTGCTGCTCGCCTCTCCCTACTCACTCTCCATTCCATTGACGTTGATGGTGCGTCCGTCCTCGCGGCGCCACTCCACCTGCGGCTGGGGACTGCCGGTGGCCGTGCAGCTGAGATTCAGGGATCGACCTTCCTCGACAATCACCGTGCGCTGGAAGTCCGGTGCGTGTAGATCTGTGATCGAGGGCGGTATCAGCAGATCGTTCGAGGAGCTGCCATTGGGGAACTGCATCTTCCAGGCATTGATGCCGGGCACACCGGGCGTGCCGTTGGTGCCCGGCTTGCCAGGACGTCCGCGCGGACCAGCAATGCCTGTGGGGGGCAGACAATTTTGCACTCTGGAAGCACACACAAGCAAGCATTGATACCCTACCCTTGAGTCCTCGTTCGCCGGGTGGTCCTTGGGCGCCTTTTGGCCCGGTTATGGACAGCCCATCCTTGCCATCCTTGCCGTGCAGCCCGTCCTTGCCGTCACGCCCCGGCAGCCCGTTCTTGCCATCGGCACCAGCTCGTCCCGGCACCCCATCCAGTCCGGGTTCCCCCGGCACACCGTCACGCCCATCCAGGCCCGACCGTCCGACGGCGCCCGCATCGCCCTTGATGCCACGTGGACCCGCCGGCCCCACATGGCCGACACCATCGACGCCAGGTGCGCCCGGCAGACCGACATCGCCGCGATTGCCCTTGGGTCCGGGTATGCCGGGCAAACCAGGATTCCCAGTGGGTCCCTTGGGTCCAGTCTCACCCGGCGGACCCACCGGCGCCGGCGGACAGTAGTCCTGTGTGCCCTTGCAGAAGCCTGTGATTATCTTCTCCGGCACGCGGCAGTAGGTGTTCAGATAGATCCACTCGTCGCCGCCCGGAGCGGCGCCCTTCTGCCCCGTTCGCTTGCGAATCTCCGTGTCCTGCTCCTCGAGCGCCATGCGGTGGTTTGGATTGAAGAACTCAATCAGTGGATCAGCTGTGAGAAAGACAGAGAGAGAGAGAGAGTTAGGGTTGGGTTGGTTTACAAACAGCAGTCTGGGAGTGTCTTGCCATGCATCGAGGCGGGCGACGAGGCAATGTCCCGTCGAATGCGCATTCGCCTCTCCTCTGTCCGATGGCCAATCAGGTTGTCCGTGAACTTGCGCTCGTTCTTCAACTCTCCGCTGCTGCTGCTGCTGCTGCTGATCTTTCGCGTGGTGCTGGCGGTGCTGTCAAGAGAGAGTTCAAAGCTTAAAAGTGATTCCAAGCCCCAATTGGCACACACTCACGTTGTTTCCCTGTCTGCTTCGCGATCCGCTGCAATAATCTGGCTGAGCATTGCCCTGAGGACATCCTCGGATCGCTGCAACTCCGCCTGGAACTGTGCGCGAAAGAGCCTCGAGGAGCTGGGCGTGGGCGAAGACGCGAAGGCATCGCCTGCCTCCTGCTGTGTGTGCGTGTAAAAGACAATGGCGAGACTGGCCAGGATCAGGGTGAGGGCGCCCAAGTAGATGTAGACGAGCACCAGCGAGGTAACCGCCTTGTTGCCCCCGCCAGCACCGGCAGCCGCCGTCGATGTTGTGTCGCCAGCCACCAGCTGGTCACTGGACGCCGCAGACTCCAGACGCCGCGGCTTCACCTCAGTGCTGCCCGTGGCGCTGCTCTCATCCTCATCCTGCTCTATGGAGCGTCGCTTCTTCTTTTTCTTGCTGGCATTGTGTAGACTCTGATTGACGGCCAAGAACATGATGCTGCAGCCGCTGTGGTTTCCGTTCTGCTGCTGCTACACAAATCCCAAATCAAAGAGGCCAAATTTGTCTAGTTTTGATGTTCGATTTAGAATTTCTGCTTTGATTTATGGAGCACAAGTGCAGTTCGAAAATCAAATTTCCATATTTTTAGATTACACAAACAAAGAAAAGCAAAAAAAATATGATGGAGGGGCAACAGGGAGGAGAACTCGGTCTAATTTTAAATAAAAACTCTCGAGACTCTCTCCAGCTGGAAAGCAGGGAAGACTGCTTGCACGGCTCTGCGCTGCTTGTCCACTGCTTGCAACATGCGAGTTTTGTTGCTGCAGTGCCTCAAGTGCAAATTAGAATGGAAATTGTTTTGTTTGTCGTTCGGGTTGTACGTACGTGATGTATACATAAGAGCCGCTCGCTACCAAAACTTTTTCACACTTTTCCGCATGTGGCGGGCACGCCAAGGGGCACGGTGGGGACGGAGATAGAGCGAGAGCGAGAGCGAGAGTTTAAGTGTGAATGAGAAAAAGATGGCAAAGGGAGCAGAGAACGAGAGAAAGAGAGAGCTAGAGCCTTGGTGACCAAACGCGTTGGCGTCTAATGCTCGACTGAGTGACAGTTTCTGTTCCGCTTCTCATAGCCGGCAACTTTCTCACGCACTCTATCTCACTCTCTCTCTCTCTCTCAGCAAAGAGAGCGCGATAGAGAGAGAGAGAGAGCGTGGTGCTTGGGGGAAGGGGCGCGTGTACGAACGATAACAAATCGAGTCTATATCTAGATATGTATATGCATATATCCATTCCCATGGCTATATCTCTTGACAGCTTTACGTACGCCATAAATAAATCGAAATCTTTTTGGGGAAATTTGGAAACTCGTTTGATTTCTGCTAATTTTAGGAAAACTAAAAGCAAATTTGTTTGCCAAAATGATTCTTCCAATATTTGTCCACTAAATATAATCGTTTATAACCGAAAACAAGGCAAATACAAAAGGGGAAGAGAGGCAGAAAGAGAGAGATTGTTGGGGCACCTCTCTGCGATTTGACGCCTGCGCCGTGCCCTTCAGCTTTCGCTGGCAGTTAACGGGAATGCACATGAATGCTACCCAAGGGGGCCTTAAAGAGCGTGAGCGAGAGCGAGTGGAGTTGGGCAATGTCTGGACTGGCTGGCGAAAGAAAACTTTCCTCAACAAGTAAACAGTTGAACGGTGGACAAGTCCCGGCTCTGGGGACACCCAAAGTTCAAAGATAAATGCAACTGCAGCGGGAATATTAACTATATAAACTATAGATACAGATACAGATACAGATACAGATACTAGATGTACATAGATACAAATATCAGTAATTGAATTACAAAAAATTAACTGAGAGACTGTGAGGTAAATACAAAGGCAGTGGCAGTGGCAGTGGCAGTGGCACTTGGCTTTAAAGTTTCTCCTGCCTAATTCTACTTCTTCAATTTGTTTATGGATCAGCCAGCTACAAGCACTGGGAATCACCTTGTGCTTAATTTGCATTTCCGTTTCGAAAGAGAATTCAATTTGCATTGGCCCAAGAGCGAATCGAACCGAAACTCAATGGGCCGTAACGAGCTCGTTAACTTGGCTTTGGCTCCTGGATCCTGCATCAAGGAGCACCAACACACATTCAACATTCAACATGCTGCTGCTGCTCCTGCATTAGTTGCACAAACATGTCACACGAGCCAACAAGAGCCAATGCCAATGCCAATGGCAGCGCGTAATTTGGCAGCTGACGAGCATGCGAAAGCCGACCAGCCGCGGTTTTGGCACTGTTCCGGGTACAACTAGGTGCGGCCACGGCTCGGTGTCGGAGTCCAGCTGGTAAGCGGCTCAGTGCCAAATCATCAGCAACAAGCCGCAACAGCAACAGCCACAACCACAGGCAAAACGACACTGAGGGAATAAACGAGAATCGCCTTGTATTAAGGGAAATCCAACATTTTCTGATCACACTTTTCCCAGACATTCAAGTTTCTCTCAGACTCTATGCCAGGAGACTTTCCCCTTCAAATATTGCAATAATGTTTGGGATTTTTGTTTTCTCAGTGAAGCCCTACATCGGCGCATTAGTCAATAAATCAAAATGTCAAGATGATGGTCTTCGAAGTGAAGGCTGAAGGCAAAGGCAAAGCTAAAGTCAATGAGGGGGAAATCGGCAGATGGAGAGGAAAACGGCCGCCATTAGACCAACGCTTATATCAGGGAAATGACAAATTAAATGACAAGAAACCGACATTAAGTCCCAATCGGGACCACCACCAATCATTCACGCATTAATTTATTCATTCATTCATTCGGGTGTAGCCAAACATATTGGCTTACCGCTCCACCCACCCCTCCACGGACCACTTACATTGTTGCTTATGAGTAATAAATGAATGCAAATGCAAATGCAAATTCAAGGAAGGAAAGAAAGGGGAGAGGCACTTCCGGGTTTTTTATGTGCTCAGCACCGTCGCGTCGGAAAGTGCATTCCGAGTTGGCAATAAAAATGCGAATACGGCAGACAAACAAAAACAAATACGAGTTTTCGCCTCCCAGCAGGAGTTAAAGTTGCAATTTTATTAGCATATTTCGCAGGCTGCCGCCAAGGATTTCTGCCTCTGGTTGCCACAATCAGGCTGATTGAAGCGCAACATGAGCCGCGCAATGTGCAACGAATTTAAGTTTTGACGCGGAATTAGAATGTGTTTTTGGATTCCTAGGGGATTAGGTAGACATGATTATGGCTTGGGTCTTGTGTTTGAACATTTATAGTCTGTTCTGCACAGTTTTGTTCGAATAAAAGGAACTTCTGCTGCGATATTAAATAGTTTTTAGCTCTGAAAAACTTTCGTTAATGGGGAAATCAGAAATCACTCAACAGCAGATGTTGTAGGAGTAAGCCTCGAAAGCACTGAAAAGTGGAAACATTTCCGTTTGGATGAAATTCTAGGGAGATTTTATGGGAGCACATCTGAGCGAGGCAATTAAGTTGTGATTGGGCACTCGCATAGCTGCCTGTAATCTATATTTCTTCAAACTGAAACAAAGCAAAAAACAGCCAAAGATGTGGAAAGCTTTAAGAAATTGTCCCAGGACAAGTGAATGTGTGCGTGGGCGTGGCAAGGAGGAAAATTGTAGAATACACCGCTGGAGTTTCTGCCAGCCCCCACGCGTCTTGTCTCCTTTTCATCAGTTTCATTCTCGGTTTGCATATTTATGAGGGTAGCAGCAAAAGAGGAGCAGCAGTAGGATGGAGCTCTAAAGACAGCCAAAAGCATGCTGAGAAGGGTGGGGAAACGTGTAGAAATCATTGAACAGCATCGAGTGGCAGGCAGCGCTTATCTCTCGTCAACGGGGGGAGTCAACGCCAAACATGAGCCAAAGGCAACGAAGCCAAGACGGAGCGAAAAGAATGCGGAAGCGATGGAGCGCCTGCTTACAGGAGAGTCGAACCCTTTGATACCCTCTGTCAGCATGCTGAAGGCATGTCTCTTCCTTGGTAGAGATGTACTTTTGATTGATTTATTGCTCAAATATGGGATCCATCTCTGACTCGCGGAGAAACTTTTCTGTGCTTTTACCAGGGGCATTTGTTACTTCTATCCTTGTATTAATTGAAGGCTTTTCTATCTTGTTATTTTTTGTTGTTTTTGTTATTTTTATTGCTTAAAAATCCAAGAGAAAATTCGCCTGCTCCATCCAGTGTCTTGCGGAGCAGAAGGGGGTGGGAGAGTGAGTTTTGTGGATGCCGCAGATGCCGAGCGCTGCTGCTGCTGCTGCCGCTGCCGCTGCCGCTGCCACCGAGCACGTGCTCCTACAGAGCAACAAATTCCGAAAAGCCGAGCGATAAACGTTGCTGCCGCTGCCTCGTCGCAGTCTCTGCCGCAGTCGCTGCCTGCGCTGGCGTAGGTGGGTTGCCTGGCCTGTTGAAATATTTTCGAAATTAGAATTTCGAAAAGCTGGCAAAAAGCTCGGTGCTTTGGGGCCAGAGGGCGCCAGGCAGACTCCTATGCGCGCGCAATTTAAATTTAAATTCAAATTGAGTTGTTTATTCATTCTTCGAAAACTTTTTGGGGGCTTTCTTGCCATCTCTCTCGGGTAAAAAGCTTTCTTCAGGCAAAAGCCCGCAATGCAGACGTCACAGTTGACCCTCCAATGTCAATGTCCTGTGCGATTCAAAACGCAACGAAGAGAAAATCTTCAGGAGGAGGGAGAAAAATCATAATAAACGAGGTCATGAGGTTACTGCGCCACTGGGGCATCCGAGACAGTACTCAATAAACAGCCAACTAAGAACTAAGAAAGAAAGAAAAATCGATTTAAAATCAACCGCACTAATCCTTTACTTTGTTCTCCCACTTTTCTTCTCTTTGCAGGTGAGTTACCAATCTTTAGAAGTTTCAAGAAATCAAAGTATAAAGTACCAAGCTAAGGCTATTCGCCATTCAAGTGAGGCCCTGGGTCGGTGTGGTTTGTGTACTGTCCAAGGTCTTTACTCGATGCTACTTTCCAATTTGTAAGCTAACTGTGACCATGACCCCACCCTTTACTAGATCTGCGAACCCAATCCGCAATATAATTTCGAGTGGGCAGTAAAACTCTTAATCTATAATGTTAATATTAATAAAACTGAATCGATATTCACCCACGATCCTAACCCCAGCAAAAATTGCAATCAAGCAAACAATAATATAAATAATACACTAAAAGACATAGGGAAGAGTACATAGCATCGTTATTTGATCACGATTAATAAATACTCAAAATAAATGAACTTCTTTTAGTACTTCTAGTATCGCACATAGAAACAAAAACCTACATATGCATAGGAACCTCACACTTCCATTAATTGAGATCTTCCATCTATGTATGCTAGAGGGCCTCGATCTTTCTTCTCCCTCTGACGCCCTTTGCGCTGATCTATCAACACAGCCTTCTATCAAATCATCCATTCTCCATTCTCCATCATTCGATATTCGCATATTTTCCGTAACCCTACTTGGTCACTCATGTGAATCGCTTTTCGAGGGAAACGGGGCAACATCAGCAACAATCAATCGACAAATGGGCAGCAATGCCAAGAATCGGACATTGAGAAAATGCATTAAAAATGTATCACTCGAGCTAAATCACCAATCCACCCAAAGACCTAGCACTTTGTACATATTGAGTGCTCAAAGTGTGGGAGCAATGGTGACACCCTGCATTGAATGGTATATGCATACGTAGCAACAAAAGCAACCTTGGGAAAGATCTGGTTATCGTGCATAAATCCTATAAGTATTTCATTTCATTTGACTGCTTTACAGGGTACACAAAACTTCGACAGCCGCCTCTCAGACCTTTCCTTCAGTGGGGGATTCATTTATGCTTGTTCCTTTGTCAGTCTCTTATTCGTTTTGCGAGTTTTCTTTTTAAACAAATAAAGAGGCGCATTAAAAACGGTATTGTCGACAATTGACGAAAACAGGGCCAACACACAATCAGCGGAATCTTATTTTGCGGCGTCTGACGGGTTGTACGGGTGGATGGGATGGGTTGGAATGGGTGGATGGGCTTTACGCAATCTTTGGCCGAGTGAGAGGAAAATGAAAATGAAAAACGAGTGAAGGTCGCCGCCACTGCTTGAGTATCTGTGTCTGCTTGAGAGTATCTGCGAGTGTGTGTTGTTAATCAAGTGACGCTATAAACGCATCTATAAGTGTAACATTTGTCTGGCAATAGACAAAGCAGCGTTTATCCCACCCACCCATTCATTGGCACTGGGCTCTTCATTATCATCATGGGTGCGCGTACTCGTATTTGTTTGTTGGCCTGCTTTGTGTCTTTTGGCCACAAATATACAATACTCGTGTTTATGACCAATTGAAATTGTGCAGAACTGCGTCGATTGGTAAATTGATTGATTTATTTGAATCCATTCGAAGTTCGAATCAATTCAAACAGCCAAAGAAAATCATGTGTCACCGCGGAAGCTCACTCCTGTTGGGCTGCCCCATAATTGCTGGTATTGATTCTTTGTGGCATGCAATTTGTGTAATCGATGCCACACACCACACCATTCCATTCCATTCAATTCCCCCAAACAACAAACAAACAAACAAACACTCTCTTCCCACGCCACCCATCAACTTACATCGTTATTGTGTCTCGTATTGTCAAGTGTGCGCTTCGATTTCCCTTCACTTGTTGCCGGTGCTGCTGCTGCTGCTGCTGCGATTTGGAATCGTGAATCATTCGTCGGAGGTTTTTTGAGACAAAACAACGACAAAGTCCTGCGGCGCTGAGCCAAGTGCTTGTCGGATAGGAACCACTGATGGTTTTCAGGGTAAAAATATATGAGAGGAGGCAAATATAAAATGATAGGAACTTGATGGTGGTCTTTGATAATGCACTTATCCAAGAGGGAGTCCTCACATTTCTGGGCCTCTTATTTACATTTCAATAAACCTGCATTTACCGATATCACAGCATATGAATGTACCGTTTGAGCAAGCATAACAATGCACGAACTTTCACGTTCAGATTTGCTCGCGCAACGATACGGTACATGCGAATGCGTGTGAAAGAAGAACCAAAACCAACCGTTGCTTGGTGTTTGCTGCTGCGTTTGCTGCAGTTGCCGTTGCCATTTGCCGTTGACTTTAATTGTTGCCGCAGGAGCATTGCTCAAATATTAATTGGTTTTCTTTGGTTTCTTTCTGTTCGAAATTTCGAAATTATCGGCCTTTTCTTCTCCGCCTTACTCCTTCTCCGCCTCCTCCCCCTGTTGCTGCTCACCCACTCTTACAGAATCTCCGACAGACTCACTTTAGCGATTGTCTCTCTTTCTCTCCGCTGTGCAAGGTGAAGTCTTCACCGCTGGGGAGCCTAGCTCTATTCCTTTCTAGCGCTTGTGTCTCTGCTCGTGGTGAATAAGTTATCTGCTGGGGCCTTGGGTGTGGTGAATCCTCCCGGGACTTCCACCAAAGACAGCTATCAGAGCGAATATCCAGAATGATATTTATTACCTCAGCAATAATGGAGTTAACGTCAAAGTCTAAAGCATTAATTGATGCTTTAATTCCAAACTATAATGGTGGTTGATTGGTTTTTGGACCAATGCACCAAAGTTCGCTTAGTCGCGAGGTTGCTCCTGGAGGGGGAATTGTCAGTGGGTCAGTGGTCAGATCGGAGTGTACGGCCTGGGATGAGGGGCTCATCGACGCTGTAAGCCTGCTGACCAGTCTCAACGCTGAACATCAGCTCCTGCAGCAGTTCGTTGTGCAGAGGTTCCTCAACTTTGTGGACGCTAGTCCGAAGATCCTTGTGCTCAACCTCAACGCCGAGTGTAGACTGCTGATTGTCAGTGCTGCGCACATGCAGCTTGGAGCGGAGGCGTAGCGTGTCCTTTGAGTGTGTCAGGATTCCCATGTTCACGCCCAACTCGATGCCAAACTGAACAGCGGCCTGCAGGGTGTCAAAGCAACTGATGTGCTGCATCATTGCCTCATTCAGCTGAGCCAACGATTCGACACCAGCGCACACTTGATCCAAAGTGGCGCCTGCAAGTGGAAGGATGAGTAAGTGCCCCAGTTGAATCCCCTTTGGAACCCCTTTTGTGTACTTACTCTGACGTGGCTTGCCGTGCAACATGTCCACAATGTGTGGCAGCAGCGATGCATAGGGATTCTGATCGGGGTTCTCCATTCTAATAGATAATCCGAATTTTATTTTCTACTTGCAGCAATTTAAATAATAATTTCAATCTCTGTTGTGTTGTGTTGTGTTTGTTTGAGTGTCTCTCTAGTGTTTTTGTGTTTGACTTTTGACGAGCTGTAAATGTCCAATGCCGGCTGCTGGGTTGAGCATTTTCCAACAACATTTGTTAACTCCCAATAAGCCTGGGGAGTTTCATTCAATTTGAAGGTCAGCAGCCGAAGCAACAATCGCCTAGCCCCGCCCACTCATCGCTCCCTGCCATCCGCTAACATTGAAAGAGTGCCCCAAAATGCCGGTCCGTTCTGCAGAAGTTGAAGTTCGTCGGCTGCCCGATGGACTCCGGAGAGCGGTGAAAAGTGAAAAGTGAAAAGTGGGCCAACGCCGCAGACAACCGCAACNCGCACATGCAGCTTGGAGCGGAGGCGTAGCGTGTCCTTTGAGTGTGTCAGGATTCCCATGTTCACGCCCAACTCGATGCCAAACTGAACAGCGGCCTGCAGGGTGTCAAAGCAACTGATGTGCTGCATCATTGCCTCATTCAGCTGAGCCAACGATTCGACACCAGCGCACACTTGATCCAAAGTGGCGCCTGCAAGTGGAAGGATGAGTAAGTGCCCCAGTTGAATCCCCTTTGGAACCCCTTTTGTGTACTTACTCTGACGTGGCTTGCCGTGCAACATGTCCACAATGTGTGGCAGCAGCGATGCATAGGGATTCTGATCGGGGTTCTCCATTCTAATAGATAATCCGAATTTTATTTTCTACTTGCAGCAATTTAAATAATAATTTCAATCTCTGTTGTGTTGTGTTGTGTTTGTTTGAGTGTCTCTCTAGTGTTTTTGTGTTTGACTTTTGACGAGCTGTAAATGTCCAATGCCGGCTGCTGGGTTGAGCATTTTCCAACAACATTTGTAAACTCCCAAAAACCTGAAACAAATATTAGATACAAAAATTCGTTAATATTTGTAATTCTTTGTAAAATTCTTTGTAAAACTTTACCAAAAAGTGCGAAATGCCTTCTCAAAGTGTTATCAACTCGTGCCCAGCGGCTTTTCCCAAAATACTGAGCTTCCTGCTGGCCCAGCCCCATCAGTGTGAGTGTTTGAAGGTGCCAAAAAACCAGTCTGGGAGTGAACTTTGTCCTCCACTCGCAGGCTGCACTGTGCAGGAAATGTTCAAGCATGTCTTGCTGGGTGAACAAATGCTGCCCCAAGTCATCACATCATTCAGTATCCTCCAGAAAGCTGTGCGCTCTGGCCTGATGCTGGGCATATCCTTGGAGATCTTTGCGGTGCAGAATGGCATTTTGCACATGCCCCAGGGGGGCAAGCGTCCTGTCTTCCCAGTTAGGCTGTTGCAAAAACAGGTGGGCAGTCAATCAGAATATCAATCAATGATTCCTCTGACAAATCTTCATCCTCCTCTTCCATCGTTTCAGACAAATAAATTTTCTTTGGAGGCTCTTCGTCTTCGTCGTCGCCGTCGCAACCGCCACTAGACGGCGTCCCATTCAATCCTTTTTCCCAATTTAGATTTCGAATAAACGTTAATTACATGTACTGGAAAATTGTCATGCTTTGCGTTCAGGAAGCTGCACTTAAATTGGTGGGCCAGGGCTGGCACTTGTGTTTGCTGCGTTTACCGTTCGAATGTATTTTTTCGGTGAACGTTTATTAAACGTCCCCGCACGCTGTTGACGTTGTAAGCAATTTGCGTGGAAAACACTTTGCACAACACTCACCCATAAAGAGTCACCCCTCCACGCCACCACTCAGTCTCCCACATGTTCGATTTTCGGCACTGTTCTGGTTTTCATTAACGTTTTTGTGTTTGTTAATTCCGTTTTGGAAGAGAGCAGAGATATTTTATGTAAGATGTTCTGACAAATGAATACAGTAATTAAAATAGCAATGAAAGAGCATATCTTCAAACTCAGAAATATGAGAAATAGTAGGATATTCAAGTTTGTTAATGCAGAAAGTACAGATCTCCTACCGATCTCCGAGTGAAATTGCAAACCGGAACAGTGTCGATTGGTGCTCTGCTGCTGTTGCTGGCGCTTGGCCCCTGGCCTGCGGTGATGTCCATCCATGTGCCCCCACGTCAGACCTGGCATTCGCATTCGCAGTCGCAGTCGCCGCCGACAACGTCGCTGTCGCTGTCGCAGGCCTCTGCGTCGAGCAGAGGAGCGATCTTCAGTAACGCGCACGCCGGTGAGCGCTTCGCTTCGCACTTGTTTCACTCTCACACAGAAGATAGAAAACAGAAAAGGAGGAAAGCAAAAGAATCGGACTAAGTGCATTGGCATAAGGTGAGGCATTGCCAGAGAATGCGATCGCCTGATAGTTGCCTATTAAGTGTGTGTTTGTGTGTGCGGTGCAAATACTCTCGTCGAAAGAGAGCGTGCATTGGCAGCTGCAATGCTCTCAGGTTAATGCAGCTTCGAAGCAGAGCTTTAACCACTTCTCCCGCTGCAGAACCAGTGCGTATGTCGTGCGTTTCTTTTTTGTTGTTGTGGTGACAAAGATGTTTGTAATGGTGATAATGATTCACGAAATGATAATTTTATTGATGATAATTATGCTACGGAAATTATGTGAAAAATTGTGTCGCATTGATGACGTTCCTCTTCGTTTGTCGTTTGCCCAACGGTTCTTACGCTCTTTCGCTCTTCCTCGCGCAGGGCTCATTTATGCAAGGGGAGGTGTTGTTCTCCCACTTTCTCTCGTGGTCTCGTGGACGCAATTATTTCGGAAGAGATATGTACATATATATAATAGGGGTAGTGGTGATCTCCTCTCCACTCACCTCGAATTTTTTTTGTAATAAACAAAGCCACTATCCCGATATGGCTTCTTGGAAATTCCCTCACCTTGCATAAATTCACCTTGCACTTGCGTGGACCAAATGAAGAATTCTCTCTTCCATCCATCTTCTTACACTCTCACTGCCGCGCGCGATCTTTCTCTCCTTCTCTCTGCTGACGCGTAAGTTTCAAAAATGTTTGAGTGTTGTTTTTTTGGTTTTGTTGTCGTTGCGTGTGTGTTTTTTGTTTTCTTCCTCTTGCGGTGCCGTTTGGAAATGTGAAAAATGTGTGCGACAACTGCTTCCCCACACCCCGCCACACTCTTGCCCGGCCTACACCCACCAACCCATCCCCGTTGACACCGTCGCGCTCTTTTCGGTCAGCGTCTCGGCTGCTGGCGCTGCTGGCGCTGCTGCTGCTGCCGCCGCTGTCGTGGAAAAAGGCGGCCAGCAACGGGAAAAACAACAAAAAACAAAAGTGAAAAATAAATGAAAATTGTCTCGTTTCATTTCTTTTGTCATTTGAATATAAATAAATATGTATATATGTAGATGTCGCTGTCGCTGTCTCTGTATATATGCAAGTAGCCATCCGTCTGCTGATGTACCAACATACATAGTATATGTACATACATATGTGCACCGTTATCACAGATCTATATAGCACAATCATACATGTGCACGTAGTGAATCGTTATAATCGGAAGAGCAGAAATTAAAGAGCATTGCAATTGCAGTTGCCTGCCGATAGATATCTCTGCTATTGAACATAGAAACACAATAAATTGTTACCAGTACACGGCGCGAAAAAGTGGAGTAAGTTAATGGATTGCCTGCATGGCCCACATCACGACGACGAACGGCAGCTTAAGCCAAGCGCCAAGGTAAGAGAGTAACACCACCCACTGCCACCCCCTCGCCGCTGTTCATCGCTCTCTCATTCAAACTCTTCCACAGTAGCGCTGCCTCTCACCCACTGCCGCTGCTGCTGCTGCTGCTGCTGCTGCTGTTGTTTCTGAAATGAAAGGAATGTGATTATTATATGTACAATCATAGCTAAGATCAGATCACTATGGATACTTCAATTCAATTCAAAACTTGTAGCACTACAAGAAAATATTAACATACCTTATGCTGTAGGTTATCCCTTATTAGATGTATCAAAGGATACGTATATTAAAATGACAGGGTATCAAAAGCTTCGCAGCACAAAGTTAGCCTATCTATATGGGCCTTTCATTTGTTTGCCACGCGTTTTCGCGTTTATCTGCGCTATTTGCTAAATCATTGCTTTTCTTTTTACATTAAAATCTGGTTTTATTACTTTCTAAATATTTACTTTGGAGCCAGAATTTTCGCATTTACGACTCGCCCCAGAATACGCGCACATAGCGTAGGCTCAGGTGGCGAATGCTGACGGACAGGGAAATGTTTGACGCCCCCAAAAGGTGGGATGGATCACAATTAATGGAACAGACTCCTCAGTTATTGAGTTTGTGTTTAACGATTACTTCCTTTAGCATTTAAATACGACTTATTTAAGGTCATCTTTTCTTTCAACTGCCCTTGATTCACTTTCTCTGGACTTAAAGTAATTGCTGCTGGTTCAGAGCAGTTGATCATCGATACTGGAGTATGTCTTTGGCCTCATTTCCCATGCCCATACCCATACCCATACCCATACCCATGCCCATACTCGTTGCCTCTTTCGCTGTCTTCTTGGCCGACCTTGCCCCGAAACGAGTGCAGAAGAAGAATAAAACTATTTATGTTTTTCATTTTCATTTCATTTTTGAGGCGCTTTATGCTTTGTTTGTTCCCATCGATTGACGCTGCAGCTAATTAACGTGCCCCAAAAGCGCATATGCCCCATGCCCATGAGTCGGGTGGGTGCACGGCGTGCGGTGTGCGGTGTGCAGATGTGCAGGTGATGATTATTAAGACGGACAAAAGACCTTGACAGCGACTTAAAATGTGCTAACAAGCGTGCTCTCATGTCACTGGGGTCTTAGCTCTCCACACGCTCTCATCTCTCTCTCTCTCTCTCTCCCCTTCTTACTCTCTCATAATTTATCTGTCTCTCGCTTGGACCTCTCTCTATTCACTGTTTTGCTCTGAAGAGCAATGCTGTCAGCTGTATCTCTCTCCCGTTTCCGGCTGTGGCCAAAGCCAAGGTGCAACCCCCTTAAAATTCAATTAGAACGGCCTGGGAATGACCAGGGCAGTGGATCGAAGCGAAGAGTACCCTGGCATTGGTTAGAATTACCGAATCGAATCTGCCAAACGCAAAGCTATAAATGCATCACACACACGGGAGGGTCGTACACTGTCCAAAAAGGGTATGAAAATATTGTGACCATTGTGCGTTGATCGACCATCGAACCATACAGCCATACACAATGTGGCTGCGGCTGTGTCTGTGGCGGTGTCCGCCCGCAACGCTGTTGCACTTTTAAGTGGCGCGCGCGCCCGTTCACATCGTTCCCAGGCCCAGGCCGAGTCGAGTTCGTGGGTTGTCGCGTGGGTGCCGGAAAAGCCAGTAAACTGGTAACTGGAATAATGCATGCGGCGTCCAATGTACGCTCGCCAGCAGAGATGCGTCACAAGAAGAAGAGGTACATCGCTCTGCTGCTGCGGCAGAAGGAGGAGGAGGAGGAGTCAGGGGAGTGTCAGAGCTCCCGGTCCCCTGATCCATGCATCCATGGATACATGGATCATCCCCCGGACTGAAGCGGGACTTACAGTGATTCTGTGATTTGTATTTTCATTGCTAATTCTATTTTCTTTTGATTTTATTTGATGGTGTGTGTGTTTTTTTGTGTGTTGGTACGGAATTATGGAAATGTGAAAATATATGGAAATGTGGATCCGGGTGCCGTAACAGGCAAAAGCAGTTCGTCATGCAGGATAACTATAGGATGATGTAAATATGACGTTCCCCCCGTCCACGTTCCTCTCTCTGTCTCTCAAAGTAGAGCTCCAATTGTAGCAACTGCTATTTGCATTACTTATAAGCCCCCTTTCTCTTTTTAATTGCTGATTCTTTTGCACTTTTTAATTATTAATAAACAAATCTAAGCTTCTCTCCGCCTCTCCAAAAACTATTCGTAAATAGCTAAAAATATTCCCAACTAAATGAAAAGGTTATTCAGGGCCCGACGAGCTTCAATTCAAATCAAAAATCTTCCCTTTTTTTGTGTTGAATTTTTGGCTCAGTGTGTGGAAACATGAGAGAGAGGCCGTTTATGGATTTCTGTGGCAGTTGCTGCAAGGAGTTGGTTGCCACAGCTGAAGTGCCAGAACGGATATGTTAGGCGGCACGAAGCAGCCCCATCAACTTCTTGTCGCTTGCCCCACTCTCTGTTCATCTATTTCTTGCGGCCACTCATTCTCAGGGGTCAGGGGTCTCCCCTTTATCCTCTCTTTCACTCTCTGTGCCACTGGTGTGTGCCGCTTTTTGATTGCCACAACCTTGACGTGAAGCGGAAATATTTGCCCAGCACTTTCGCCTTTGGTTTTTCTTTGTTCGGGGTTTCCATTTTCGGTTTTTGGGCTTTCGACTTTCTGTTTTTGCTTTTTTTCTTTCGTTTTTTTTTTTTAGGGAAATTTTTTAATTGATTTGCCTTTCTTGCTGTTGTTGTTGTTGCTTTTTGTGGCGGTTCTCTCGCCTTCACCGTGGCCGTGACCAGTTAGCCGCAAAAAGCGAACCTCATTCGTCCAGCCTTCCAGCCTTTCCTCGATTTCGCGGCAGTCGTCTCCTTCTCCGCCTCCTCCTTTCTAGCCGCTTTCTTTATGGAGCACACACGCACATGGCCTACGTGTGTACATACGTGTGTGTATGTGTGTGCCCCATCAATTTTGTTATTTTTAGCATGCAAATCGTTTTGTCAGCCTTCAAGGCAGTGGCGGCGGCAGCAGAGCGTCAGAGCGGAGCAGTGGAGAGACCGCCAGCTGACGGACCAGATCCCCCCCATTGATGATGAGCTTCTCCGTCAGCCACGCTGCAATTGCAATCCCCTGCAGTTTTGTTATTCCTGAGACAATGTCGAATGGGTGGATGGGTGGGTGGTTGTGTGTGTGTGTGTTGGGGGTTAGGGGTTGGACCTCCCACGTTGGTGGTTTTCGAGTGGTTCCGAATGGTTGCAAACCAAAACAAAAAAATTGCTTTATTTGTTTGTTTTCTCGTTCGTCATCATTTGCTGTGGCAACACTGGTTGGGAATAAATTTGATCAATATTTCCTTTTTTTTTTTTTGGTGGGCCACAGCCCCAGTTGCCGTCCAACCCGTACCCCCACTGCTTGCGACCATTCTCCTCACGTGCCGTGACTGCTTATTAGCCATGAAGGTTACCAGCGTCAGCGTCAGCTGAGTAAAGGCTCATGCCACATGGCCGCATGGCATGCAACCCCTGCATCTCCCGCCCGTCTCTGTCGTCTCCATTTGCATGGGGCAGCAAGGCATGCTAGGCATGGCAGGCAGGCCACTAACAACAACAGCGACAGCGACAGCGACAGCGACAGAACCACTGGCCATGATCCACGATTTGGTCCAACATTGCGTATGCGTCATATGCTCAATGTTGCCCCATGCCACATGCCCCATTGGACCGCCCGCAGGCAACAAATTGCACTCGCGCATGCAATTTCATTCAACCCTGAGCCCTTGCAACGATTGCCCCCTCGAGACCCCGAGACCCAGAGACCCATAGAGACCCACCCACAAAAAACCAGAATATGAAATATGAATTGGAATTTGAATCGAAATTTCAATGGAAATTCAAGTCAGAATCGAAAAACAAGCATCAATGAGGGGAGATGTGAGATATTTATGATAATGTCACAGATTTCCATGCTCGTATATTATCCCGAAATAAAGTGGCAAAGGAATAGTTTTGGGACTCTTGGTAAACAAATTTGTAAATGAAATTATTATTATTATTCGCTTACTTTTCTGCTAAAGATCAAGGAGCTGGATATTCGGATATGGATAACTCTGGGAGATTGACATTGAAAACAGATTTAAGTGTCTCTCTATGCGTAAGTTTTAGCTTCATCCATGTGCAGCCTCTGTGCCTGTTAGCAGCAGATGGGTTTCAGGGCTCTGCCAGCAGTGGCATTGCGTCGCATCGCATCGTCTACCGATGCACACATTAACATTAATCGCTTGCTCTCTTTCTCGGGCCAAACGGGGCAACTGTTACGAAACCGTTGATGAGGAGCGTCGGAAGGGGGAGTGGAGGAAAGCGGCAAACGAGCAAAACAAACTACGAAAATGAGGAACGCCCGACAGAGAGCCGAGTGTCCGCACGAAGGGCGGGCAGCCGAAACCGAATTGAAATGTTTCGCTCGACAGACCGAATCTCACTCACATTTGCACGTATTCACACTCATGCTTTGGCCCTCACTCACTCAGACTTGGCCCTCACTTAGTCGGCACGCCTTCCGCCCCCTTCTCAATCGCCACTCAATCTGGCTAACCCGCCCATAGAGCTGCTGTTGAACGAAACGTTCTTCCTCTGTATGTAAATCTAGCTGAGTGCAGAATGAATTTAGGAATTTTGGATGGTCAATCGCTATCCTGTGCATCCTTTTTCCATGGTGAAGAAATCTGTACGAGAACTCATTTTGTCTTTTGGAATGGAAGCGCAAGGCTTCATGGAAATGAAATGCCTAAAGGGGTTTGGGTTTTCTGCTTTAAAATATGTTTTGAAATGACAAATAATTTGTTTGTTAATTAGGAATATTTCTTTGCTATTTTTGGGACACTTTCTTGAGTTAAAAGTGGGTTCCACTCTTTGGCGTTCAATCAATCAGGTTCATTCCCTCTCAGTCTTTAACCGAACTCATTCACATTTCTCACTCAACCCATCCCACCCCTCTTTAACCCACTCTCACTACCTATCTCTCTCTCTCTCTCTCTCTGTCACCCTGTCTCTCTCTATCGCCTATCGAACTCGTTGACTCTTTCATACACTTACACTTGAAGTTCACGAGCAGTTGGCCTGTGGTTCGGCTTTTTGGTTTTTCACTCGAGTTAAGCATGTGTTTGTTTGCTTGTATGTGTATGTGTGTGTGTGTGTGCGAGTGTGTGTGTGTGTGGTAGTACAACATTTAGTTAAGTTAAGCGCTGAAGTGAACTCAACTGAACCGAAAACTGGCCCGAAATTGAAACGATGAAACGATGAGGAATCGTTGCCCCGTATGCCACGTGTGTGTGTGTGTGTGTGTGTTTATGTTCGTGTGTGTGTATGTGTTTGTGTGTGTGCTGGTATGATTCAAGTGCTGCCTGCCTGACTTACATTTCTGGCCGATTGTTTGGCATTTTCCGTCTTCTTTTTTTTTTTGGTGAAGACGTCGCCACGCCGCTGCTGCCACTGCTGCTTTTGGTGCTCCTGCTGGTGCTTCTGGTTCGGCGAATAGTTTGTCCCGGCCAGCCAAGCCAGGAAGCCAGTTAACAGAGCTTCGTGCTCTCTTTCTCTCTCTGTCCCTGTCCCTGTCTCTGCCTCTGCCTCTGACTGTGCCCGTGTCTGTGTGTCGCTGTGTGTGTGCGTGTGGCAACTTCGTTGTTGGTGCTGGTGCTGCCACTGCGGCTCTGTTTGGCTCTGAGCATTGTCAACAACGCGGCACAAAGTTCATACAATTGTGACACGCGGCGCGTTAAGCACGTGGCTCTGACTGATAACACTAGACCAGAGGTCAGAGCTGTGTCCCAAAAGGATTGACAGGACTTGAACCATTCAAGAGGGTGCCAGTGCCAGTGATATTGATAGTGCCGCCGCAAGAGGGACTTGCACGAAAACTTGTAAATGTGGCCGGAAATGGTTGCACCGTACGACAGATAGAGACAGAGGGAGCGTGCGACAGAGAGAGCTGACAGCAGAGTGTGCAACGCGTTCATAAAAAATGATTAATTAATGAATAATCCATGAATTGTTTTTTTTTTTGTTGTGCAACGCCTCGAAGCAGGCAACAACTTGCAGTGACAAAAGTGCGTGAGTTTTTGTGCAGAAATAATGTGTTCACATTTTTTGTTCAAGTGCCACACACACACACACACACTCAGAGAGTGAGATAGAGATAGTGGTAGTGCACCCCAGACAGAGAAGGGGCTTAGGTCCTCGGCCCCAGGCAGTGCCTTCGACTCGGTTTCAAAAATTTGGAACTATTCCAGCACGGGCGTTTGCTTGAAGCTGCTAAAAATTAACACAATAAAAACTAGTTCTTTGTAGCTGGAAATATAAACAAATGAAAAGAGACCAAACGAATTTTAACACTTGCCGATTCATTGCTTTATTTGTGTTCATAAATATATTAGTTTGTTTGTTAGACATTTCCTCTTCCAATTGATGCATTTTATAATTTTGAGTTGAAATAAAATGCAGCTTTAATAACAGCAACTAGCAAAGAGGATGCAAGTGTGAAATATTCGTTAGTAAATTTGAAATATATTCAAGCAAAAGGTGCTAAAAGTAAATCAAATAAATAACTAAAGCAAGTGAATGAAATATCTCCGAATGCAACATGCAACAATTCACACTAAATGCTTGCTACAAATTACAGAGCTGACAATAATGTGAAAAGAAAAACAACAACAACAAAAAGAATAAGGAAAATTAAATGGGAAAAAAGAAAACAAAGAAAAACTCAACTAAAATGTATACAAAATTGATGTAATTTGAAGTTGCAACAAACATTCGCTGTGGCACAAAGACAGCGACCATGAATGGCAACAGTGCCCCCAGCAATGAACAGCAGCAGCAGCAGCAGCAGCAGCAGGCAGCTGGTCCAGCACCAGCAGCAGCAACATCGGGACCTGAGGCAGCAGGGGCAGGTGTTGGCAACTCGCCGCGTCCTGCCACAGCGCCGGCACGCACCACCGATTCGAGCAACAACAATAATAACAACAACAATAACAACACCACCAGCAGCAGCAGCATCAGCTATAGGGTGAATCTGAGCAACATAAACAACAACAGCAGCAGCAGCAACACGAGCAACACCAGCAACACCAACAGCAATCGGCAGGCAAGCAACAACAATCACAATGAGAGCAGCACGGGGCTGGTGGTCAACACTGGTGGCACAACAGCAACAGCAACAGCAACACCTGCTGCAACTGCAACTGCCACGAGCAGCAGCAGCAACAACAACAATCACATCTATGTGAATCCGCACAGCTACGACAGCAGCACCACTGGCAGCGTAAGTGGCTCCACGGCGGTGATGCTGCCACTGCCACTGAGCAATCCGTTGACGCTGCAACTGCCACCAGCAGGAGGAGGAGCAGCAGGAGGAGCAGCAGACACCCATTTGCAGCAGCAGCAGCAGCAGCAGCAGCAGCAGCAGCTCAACACGGGTGCCATCAGTCGAACGGGCACCTCCACGTCGACAACGCTGAGCACTTTGAACACATATCTGTTCCCCTGTGGCGCCTCGGACTCGGCGGGCACACTGGGCGGTGGCAGCTGTGATCTGGACAGCAATTTCAGCCAGATGGTCAATGGAGCGGGCAGCAGCGAGGCGGGCAGCAGTCTCAGCCAGAGCACAGCGCCCGTCGGCCTGGGCATGGGCATGGGCTTGGGCGTGCAGCTGGGCCTGGGCTTCATCAGCGGCAGGCGGCGCATACGGCGGCTGTTTGGTGTGCCCGAACCCACCAGTCTGGGCACAAACGGCGCCAATCCCTATGCGGCGGCCACGCTGCGGCGACGCAGCTCACAGCTGGGGCAGTTCGGTAGCAAGCGGCGGGAGCGTGAGCGGGAGCGAGAGCTGGAGGAGATTGAGCAGCAGCAGCGCATTGCCACGGTGGCCTCTGCCAATGCGGCATTCCTCGAGCGACGTGAGATGCAGCTCCAGCAGCAGCATCAGCATCAGCAACAGCAACAGCAACAATTTCTGCCACAGCAGCAGCAGCAGCAGCAGCAGCAGCAGCAGCAACAAATTCAGTTCATGTTCCATCCGTTGCAGCCGGAGCCACAAAAGAAGAAAAAGAAAAAGCCACCGGGTCCGCCGGCCCAGGCCCGGCAGCAGTCATCGCGCACCATGGACGACCCAATGATGAATCGGCCGCGCAAGAGCACGCCCGCCAAGAAGGCCAAAAAGGCCGCACCGGAGAATCCCTATGAGAAGTACCCACAAAATCACAATCCCAAAAATCTAAATAAACAAAAAACAAAAATCAGAAATCCAAATCAGAGCAAGCCAAAAGCACAAAGCAAATCGCTCTTTAGCCACTTAAGCCACGCCTCAAACGCCCAAATGCCAAAAAGCCAAAAATGCAATTATGAAAATTTTGCATTTAAAATATTATATAGAAGCCGCCAACGAAGAACGATGACGAAGCTTTACTTTTTTTTTCAACAATTTTTAATTGAAGCGCTTAACAAATTTTTGCTTTGAATTTAATTAATTTTTGTTGTTGTAAAGATTTGAATAAAACGTTGATGACTATCGAATACTCGACATAAATATTAATGAATACTTTTTAAATACGTTTTTTCCGCTTTGCTTTTTCGCTTATTCCAATGCTTTTAGCGGCTTGTTGATACCCTGCCAATGACCATATTATGTCCACACCCCAACTTGTTCTGTAATCACCATCCCACAAGCACCAATGAATCTATCCATACATCTATCTATCGAATATACTTTGAGGAGCGTGTACACACGCGTATGCGTAATGCTCGAAACAAATTTGCCCCTGGGGGGTCAGGAGCCAAGTCGCCGCCAAGTCAATGCCCCGGCAAGCAGCAGGCGGAAGAGAGCAGCCAAATGGTAGCCGTAAGCCGAATCCCGGATCTATTCTCGTATGGGAATCAACAGACAGCAGACGGCAGGCGGCAGACGACAGACGGCGCCAGGCTCCAACTCTGCTGAACTCTACGCCAAAAATCAAATATAAACCAGTGAGAAATTTCCGCATGGGCGCAACGAAGTTTTGAATGCCTTTTCCTGGATAAAGATTTCGTTACGTGTGGTATGAAAAGAGTTTGAAACACAATTCAAACGGTTCCCATTGGGTTTGTGGATGTCGAACTTGTTCATGGGAAAGGGTATCTATCCGCAGGCACCGATGCTTGGCATTGGGTGGTGGAATTTTGGTTAGGGGAAGTGTAAAACTAAATGTGCGTCTAACTGGAGCCAGCATAAGTCAGTGTCCTGCTATTGTCTCCTGTTTCTGGCCCCTGTCTCTGTCCCTGCCTCATTGCGTATACGCCACCGACTACACAGAAAAGACACTAAAAAACACAAAAGACAAATGAGCAAAATCAAAGTTAATTTTCTATTCTATCCGAGAGATGTTTACGGGATGGCGCTGCCTTTGTTTATTCTCTTTGCTGATTCTGGCATATATTTAACGCTTTTATGTTATGTGAATGTGAGTGCGGTGGGGGAACAGAGGGGGCTGGGTCAACAGGGGGGTGATGGTGGTGGTGGCGGGATTTAAATGTCGCAGGGAAATTGCTTTAATGTGACTTGCGTGTCCGGGGCTGCGCCCTTTGTTGCTGTTTCTCTGCTGTTGCCGCTTGTTCTTTTCTCTGCTTTTCCACGTGTTTCTGTTGTTTTTTCTGCCCCCTCTTTCTCTTTCTCTTTTTGAGGAATTTATGTCAATGCCACAAACGACAAACAACAAACAGCAAGCAATAGGGGGAAGAGAGAGATAGAGAGAGAGAGAGCGAGAATGGGTAGAGGCTCAGTTCGTGGTACTCCCTTTTCTTTGGCCCAAAAAGCATTACTCTGCAGTTTTGAGTTAATTGGCAAGAGTCATACCCTGTCAGCCACCCACCCACCCATCACCCACGTAGTGGCCAACACGTGGGCGACACAGAGAAAGATACACAGCGATTGAGCGAGAAAGAGAGAGAGAGAGAGAGAGAGAGAGAGTGGAGGAAAGGGAACACGCGACGCCATGGCTGCGACATGTAGCCGCCATTTAAATTGCCCGGCAGAGTCGACCTCGCCACACAGAGCCACACACTAGTCACTCCCCCAAACCCCAGACCCCGTCCACCTTCTGCCCCTTCACTTCTACACACTCCTCGCCGACGAGCACTTACCCCTAAAACACCAACAACCCAGCCATACCCCCCCTTCCCGGACAAGAGGCAGACCCGGAATGAGACATGTTGCCCTTGATTTGTGTGCACGGCATGTGGCGGCGTGTTGACTATTTGCATTGCATGCCATGCCGCTCTCTCTCTCTCTCTCTCTTTCTGCACATATATTGGTGTGCTTATGTGTGTGTGTGTTTGTGCGTCCAATAATTTCGTAACATGGCCTTTGTGGCGATCTTTGCACTGCGATAAGCCCCCCGCCGCCGCCAAACAAGGGCAAAAAAAGGACGCGGCGCGAAGGGCGGAGGGATGGGGTGGTAAACTCATTGAGTCCGGCCACTCTCAACATTTTTTCTTGCTGTATACTGCAGGGTATTCACTTTTTACAAAGTGCCCAGCCCACTCGTTGCAGGTGGGTCCTCGGCTAAACAAAATCTTGATACAATCACACTTTTCACTTTATTTTAATGACTTTAAAGGGTATTCCATGCTTCCATGCTGAGCGAACAAATTGCTCTCTCTGAATTTGTCGTTGCCTTGTGTGTGAGCTGTCGAGGAAGTGTAAAGGCCTTTGGTGAGGACAAAACAATTCGTAGCTCCAATGCATTTGCCTAACTACACTTATTGGCTGTACCCTACACTACCCTACCCTATCCTACCCGCTCTTTGGGCCCACTCTTTTAGCCAACTCTTTTGTGTGTTTGTGTTTGTGTGTTGGGCCCAATGCCAAATGACTCGCATATTTAGATGGAAATTGTTGCTATTATCGCTGAATTTTTGCCTAATGGCCGGCAATTATGAATTACTTAATGTCATTCGTAGCCCTTGTACCTTCTACTTGACCCTCTGCTCAACCTCCGCCGAGCAACTCTCTCTGACAATGAACTTTAACAAATCGCGGAAATATCTTGTGCAGTTTCTGCTTAAAAGTTTATTTTATATCTTGCAATTTTATACAAATAGTTTATGCCACACTGCCCCTTGCCACGCCTTGGCTACATCACATTAATTGTCTGCCGCAGGACCTTTTCCCACAACCAAATTGCGAACGCCAAAAAGTATGCTATGGCAACGATTGTTCGCTTACGTTTTGTATTCCTAGGTGTGTTTGTGTTTGTTTGTTTGTTTGTGTGTGTGACCCAACTTTAGCTCAAGAGCCAGCAATTAGTCGACACCCCGCCGTAGCCGCAGCCCCTGCCCCTGCCCCTGCCCCACCTCTCTCGCCCCCGCTGCAGGTACAACCTTGAACTCGCCGGCAAATCGAAGCACGAAACGAGCACAAAGCGAATGAAAGTAAAAGTTGCACGTGCGACTGCTGCTGCTGCTGCCTGCCTGCCACTTGCGGCAGCTGCATGAATAATGTGAATGCACCACCAGCACATCCCCGCCCTCTCCCCTTCCGCTGCTCTGCCCCTGCTCCTCCCTTTTGCCACTGTGTGAAGGTCGGAGCGGTGCAGCGCGGAGTCACAGACGACTGCAGGCCACAGGAATCCATTAGGCCGTGCAACGCGAGCTCAGCTGATGAGCCTGCCACCGTCTGCCTGCTGACGTCATTGGTGTGCCACAGGCCGGCCCTTCTTCCGCACCTGCCATCACCTGGAGTCGCGCGTCTGCCCCAATCAAAGTCTTTGGAGTTGGCTTTCGCCTTTTTCTTTGTCTTTGGCCTACCAGAATTTATTTATTTATTGAGCGCTGCGACAAAAATGTTGTACGAAAGAACTTGCCCCCCCCCCGCCTGCCACAGTGCGGGCGACGACGGCGACGTCAGCAGCGATTTATTTAGCGACAGTTTGTCGTTCATCTTTTTTTTATGGCCACCGCCAGCCACACACTGCCCCCTGCGACCGAATGTTGCTGCTGCCACCACTGAATGTTGCTGCCACTGCCGAATGTTGCTGCTCCTGCTGTCATTTATTTGCCGTCATAAACTTTCAATGGAATCACGCAAGCCAAGTTGCTCGTGCCCCACTTGCCACCCGCTGCCTGCCTGCTGATTTCTTTTATTGTTTCGCATTTGACAACAGTCATTGGCTCCAACCAAAAAGAAAATGTGACAACGACAGCAGCAGCAGCAGCAGCAGCAGCAGCAGCAGCACCAACAATAGTTGGAGACCTCCCCAGTGGAGCAGCACACGCATTACCGCCTCCACGCCTCACGCTGCAGCCTTCAGCCTTCAGCTTCGTTTTGGCTGGCACTTCATGGCTCGATCTGCCCTTCCTCCCATGTGCCCTTTTCTTGGGAATATGCAGCCAAAAGGCGAACAATAAGCAAATCGACTAAAAGGCAAAAGACAAAAATTATTGGTTATAGATCAAGCAAAAGGCTTACGAAGCATTGGATACCCCTGTGCTGATTTGATGCCTTTTGGCTGCTATCTTTGATGATTATGAAATGAAGAATATATCCTATACAGGGTGGCTAGTGCTGCTCCTTCTTCTTAGCTCTATATTGCTTTGGTTTCTTGAGCTCATCTTCATCTTCTTCTATCGATTTTGGTCGATTACTTTCGGGTTAATTCTCCTCCGCCATATTTCAATACATTTCTGCAGCACAGCCAGTCGCAAGCGTTCCACTTTTCGCATTCAAATGGCACCACTCATTTTCTTAGGTATAAAAACATCTTCCATTGAAGCTTCCATCTTTCATCTATTATCTATTATCTTGTACAAGAAAATCCTGCAATTCTTGGCAGCAATCGAATCAGCCGAAATCCTTCGTAAGTATTCAGCAAAGTAGATGGGTATTTTCTAGTCCAAATATTGCATTACGATGTTGTTTTTCTCAAGTTTTTCTCAGCATTCCCTCTCTCTCTGTGTCTCCCTGTGTGTGTTTGTGTTTGTGTTTGGGCACTTCTCTTTGTATAAATAACATTTTTGTCAAGTGGCTTGTATGACAAAGTGTCAGCCATAAGTGTAGGACTTGTGCGCACACACACGTGCTCGTATTTTTATATGTGTATATGGGACTAGGCCTATTGGGCACTCGAGTGGCTGCAATTGCTGATGTGGCTGCTGCCACTGCCACTGCCTCTGCCTCTGCCTCTGGCTCTGCGCTGTTCTTGCAGTTCAAACGC